CGTGCGCTATTAACGATATTAATTGGCAACTTCGCTCAATTAGAAACATTTTTTTAATATTAAAGTCTTCACCAAGCATTGAACTCTTTACGAAGATTTCTCCATTTAACTTCACGGATTCATAAAAAATTTAATTGTCGCTCCATTAAAGAAATTCAATAATATAGGAACGAACACATTATGAATCGGAAAACCGTCGGGGAATTGATTGAGGTAACGAAATTTATTATTTATCAGTTTTAATTTCCTCCGGTTCTGCATATTGTCCGATTTCTCGTATTTAGTCGGTTGATTCCTGTTCCGAAATCGAAATTCGTTTCGTCGATTTTTGTGTCGCTCTATCGAGAATGCTCCCCGGGTCGAAACTCGTTCCTCGTTCAATAGAAAATTCGCTAATTAAATTGTCGGCCTCTTGTTCCGGGCCCGGACCCGCGCGATTTTGTTCTTATATTAAAATTAATTCGCCGAATATTACAGTTTTTAATTTCGCCATTTCGGAGACGAATTTCCCGAATGGCGCACCGGAGATTTCTCGAATTTTCCGTTGTTATGCGCCGAACTCGTTAAATTTTAAATAGTTTTAACGACCGCTGTAAATTCGAATTTAGCTTGTGACGGTATAGCTTTATTGGTCATTCGGTTCGGATAACCGTTCGATATTAATAAGGAAAATTTGTAAATTAGATATCGTAATTCTCCCGCCGACGATTCCATTTCGAATAGAAGAAAAAATTTGAATCGTTAATTCGTATACTTTGCTAATTTTCTTCGACGATAAATTCGGAATAGCGATTAAATTTCCAGAGTCGGTAATAATTGTCTGGCCCTTTAAAATATTTAATTTAAAACGATGATGGATCCGATTGCATTGTCCCGAATGTCTTAATTGAAGGTGGTAAAACTGGATAATGAGCCCCGGGGTCGTGGGCGAGAGAGACAGAGACGAACCGAGGGAAAGGAAAATATAACGCGAGGCCCGGCAGCAAAAGAAAGAGACGCCCTGTTGCCTAAAATCTAGCGTTAGAAAGGGACGGAGCGCCGTTTCCTTTTGAAGACTGCTCTCGCAGGATTACTCGATCGGGGACGGTTAAACGGTTTCAGTGACGGTTTCAGGTGGAATTAGATACGAGAAGTAGAATACAATACTTTATCTACGACTATTAATAAAAATCGAAAAGATTCGATGTATGTGTGGTACACGTTTGATTAAAAAAGGTAATTTGAGATTAAAAGATATTTGAGGTGAATTTTGCGGAGCCAGTCCTGCGGGTCGTGTCGTTCCTTTGTCTTAATTGCAACATTTCAATTTTCTCGGCAGATTTCCCCGATTTGTACCGGTTTCTTGGGCGCCCAGATTGTTTTCCTTTTTTTTTTTTTGGCGGCGTGTATTGTTATTCGGCACGGACGACGGAATAAGGAAAAACCGATTTTCGTGATTAAAGACATCCGATGCGAAAATAGATTTCCGTTTAATTTCGCTCTTAAACGGTTTACCGTTTGTAATGGAATTATATTGCCTACGTGAACAGGAGACAACGACAAAGACACACACACACGTGTGTGGGGTTATTGTTGGGATAATTCGATTGTGGCGTGTGCTTGCGTGTGAGTGTATATTCGAAAACTATTTATTTGTACCGGAGTTATTCTCGGAAACTATACCGAATAATCGATAATAAAAAAATCCTGATACTTTGTGCTATAATTGGTGGAATTGTTACAAACATCCGCAAACGCACATACAAAACTAAAATACTTTACTTTCCTGGAGAACATAAAAAAAATCATTTCATTCTCTTTTTTACCGCTGTATGTCAATTTATCATCCACGATTATTAAATTTTCTTCAAGTTTAAAGTGCAATCATTTTAATATTGACTCCAAAATACCTTTCTGGAGGAGAATATAAAAAATTAATTTCATTCATTTAGGTACCTACTCAATTTTCTTTTGACAATTGTCTGTCAATGTATCATTCAATTTATCATGCAAGTTTATCGAGCATTAAAGTACCTACATTCATATTAATATCGACATACGGTGCATATAAACCCGTTTGGCTTTCACATACATAATCAAGCATCCTGCAACCTGCTTCCTGGCCTGTAATCAAGATTTGTCGTTGTTCCGGTCGAAGGTGGCGGGTCCTCGGGACCCTGACCATTATCGCCTAATGATATGGCAACCTTAGATCGTCCGCTCCCAATTCGCCTAACTGCTTCGCATTTGGATTACAATGCTCGCCCTGTCGATGGGACTATTCCCCTAAGGAATAACACACACACCCGCACACAAACGGAAAATGTCATTTCGTTCGTTTAAACGCGCTATTACGAACATTTTTACTCGATTAGATTGCAGAATTTACGAGACTTAATCGCAAATATAACGTCTCCAAAAATGTCCACAGATGCACTACTTTATACATTAGTTAAATATTATTTTTTAATTAGAATGATTAGTAAGCGTACCTTAATCGATAATAAAACTGTAAACGTTCATTACGCCTTTTGCTGGCGTTTTATTTTTTTATTTTTTTTAATAAAATAATTTCTATTGCTCTAAACGCCTGATGTGTTTTCACGGCGCGCAAAGGAAAAATAGTCTATAAAAATTCTTTTTAGAGGTACTGAAAACGTAAACGACCAAAATTTTATTTCCAATGACAGGTATAAAAACATCATAAATCCGCCGTAGTAATTCTGTATAAAAACATAAAAGTGGAACAATGTAAATCACTTCGTCGCTGCCGGTTTTATGTCGCATATGAAAAGTTGGAATTATAGGGAATGGCTTTATTAAAATAAATATCGTCCATTGAGAAATGTTTATCGTAAATTTTATGCTTGTGTAAATTTGTTTGGTGTATAAATTGATTAAAAAAAAGGGGGCACTCTAACGTTTAATTTTCTTCCTCTTAAAATATTAAAATAAGGCGTTTGTTCGAGTTGATACTGGCGTTCCGTTTGTTTTTTTTTTGTATTTTCCTCGACAGTCGTTTTGCGGTATTAGCAAATGTCAAGCCGCAAATGAGTGCTAAATTTTTCATCATTTTCGAAACGGAATTAAAAAGGAGAAGTTTATTTTTCATGCAATATAACTTATTCGCCATTTCATTTTCCCACCCACTGTTGAATGAGGAAATGAATTTGAAAAATCGAGATAATTTATATAAAAAAACTGCTCTTTTAAATGGAGAGAGTTTTTCGTTCATTACGCCAGTTGCCAGTGAAATTTATTAAATATAACCGTATTTATCCAAACATTCAGAGAGGAATATTAAACGAGCAAATTGGAACTAAACTGGATTATTTAAAATAGGCGGTTTAATAAAACCATTTCATTTGTCAACTTTAAACTCTACCGGGACACGACAAGAAGACGAGCGCAGCTTAAAAGCGCTCGAGCTTTACTCCGGTCGCTGCATCTCCGGAAAAATACCTTTAAAGTGGATATTTATTTGCCGTAACTTCTACAATGAAAGCGGGACTATTTAAGATTTCAAATAGAAACGAATGCAAAAGTAAACTTGCATAATCACATTGGCGTCCGTCAAAAAACTACTCGAAATGAGTGCGTTATTAAGAAAAATAACAACTTCTCGCTCGAGCAAATTATTACGCTTTATGTACGATTTTTGTTTGGAATAAATTTTCTAAATTAGCTGTGTTAATGGCGGGGGAAATGTTCGAGGGTGAGCTATTCGGGGCGCCGCTGGCGCGAACGGACAATACGTATAAGTTTCGAAATTGAAATAGTTTTTATTCGCGGACGTAAAACCGAAGGAAAAGGCGACGGGCGCCTCCGAAGGAAATCTTTCCGAAGAAAATCGCTCCGAGCGCTCGCCGGGGCTTTAGAGCGAAAAATATAATTTGGGGTTATGATCGAAAACGGTTTGATGTTTAGGGCGACAATGTTGCGACAAATTTACTGTGCCGTTTGGTTTATTTACACCGCCAAAATGCCTATTCTATCATAATGTAAAAGTTTGTTCAATGAATTTTGAATCTTGTTTTATTTAATATTTTTCTAACTAAAGGAACGTTTTTTTTTTGTATAATCGATTTGAATATGGAGAGATTGGATGTGAAAGATATCACGGAGGTATGTTACGTATGGTGGGCATTAAAATGGTTTTATACATGTTTTATAATGTTAGTGAAATGAGATATTTTGCTTTTTGACCTATATCATTTTACTAATTACCGGTTGGGGTTCGGTTTAAAAGGCTTTTATGCGGCGAACGTGAGCGAAATGAAAATTTCCTACCTGTTTAATGTGGCGCTTTAGCAATTTTTTTGCAATCCACGTTTTACATTGTACATAATCTTTAAATTATTTCCTTAAGCCCGAAATATTTCCATCGATTGATCGTTTAAAGCGAAATAAAAAAAAATCCGTTTTTAACGAAATATTTTTCGAAAGAGCCTCTTAATTTAGACAGATATGAACTTAATTATCGTCGACTATTAAAAAAATAATTACGTTAACAGATTTGAAAACTCGAGTAATTAAAAACGTTTCAATGGCTCGTCCCGGATTCGCCGTACACTCGCGAACGTTTTTGTTTCGCCACATCCACCTTCAGTCTCTCTCTCTGCTCCCTACCCCCGATATCCAATTAACGAATTTTTCAATTAAAAAAAAATAAATTACATCGCGGATTCCAATTAGAGGCCGTTTACATATCTTAATGAAATTTCCCCGAATTGAATAGCGACAATTGTGATCTTTTAATTTTCGAACAGGACCTTCGTTAATGGCGCAAGTATTATATACATTGGATCGGAGGCGAATTTGATTTTCGCCGAAAAGAAAATACCTCGCGATTTATTCGTTTTAATGAGTTTATTCTCTCGGGTTTAATTTGGTTGTTCGAAATCAAATTATACTTTTAAAAACGAATTTGTAATATAACGAAATTGGATATTATGAGTAGCATTTCTTTGTATTGAGCTATTGAACGTGTAAATGCATCTTTGTTGTTGGTTATTTTTCAGAATGCATCGGCGCAAGCGGCCCTGCAGGCCGCCCAGGCGATCACGAACAACGCCGTGACGCCGGCGAACAATTCGGCGCCCGCCACCAACGGGCAGGATATACAAGGCGGACCGAATACCGTTCTTAGAGTTATCATCGAACACATGATATACCCTATCAGTTTAGATATTTTACATTTGGTGAGTAGCGAAATAGAACGATTGTGTTGGACGTTAAAAAAATGCGATTTAATTTGCAGATATTCCAACGTTTCGGAAAAGTATTAAAAATTGTGACGTTCACGAAAAACAGTAAGTACTTCAGTTGATTATTTGAAGGGATGTAAGAAAGTTGGTGCGCGGAAGGGTTTATAGATTTTAATCCAATAGGTAAATTGGGCGCAGAGTGCCCTACGATTAAGTGGGATTTTAAGATGCGTTCGATGATACATAAACAAAAACTTTCAAAATTGACATTAATGACAGTACGTGTGACAGAAATTTAGTAGAGGCGGAAACCGATTTTGGTATAGAGGTGTAGTAACGACTGTTACAAAATAAGCGTTATTTTTCAAATATAGTTCTCGCGATTACTCTATTCTCTCTACTTCCTACAGTGGAAAATTTACCTTCTTAGTTGATAAATTCATTTCTGCGTCCAATTTACCACAGCCCGTTGATTTCGGGTAGCTCTTTAGGGACTTCGCCGACTAGTTCCCTTACGAAACCAAAACATTCGTCGGGACCCTAATTCATTCGAACGCTCGTTCCAGACTCATTCCAAGCGCTCATCCAGTACCCGGACACCCAATCGGCGCAGGCCGCGAAGCAGGCCCTCGACGGCCAGAACATCTACAACAGCTGTTGCACGTTGCGCATCGACTACTCGAAGATGTCGTCGTTGAACGTGAAATACAACAACGACAAATCGCGCGACTACACGAACCCCAATCTGCCGACCGGCGAGGGCGGCGACCAGCTCGCCCTGGGCGGCGGGCTGGCCGGCGGCCTGGGCGCCGACATCCTGCTGTTGGCCACCCAACCGAGATTGGCCCGAGAGAGATTGGCCGGTGAGCTTCGAGCTGCTGTGAAACTCTTGCGTTTTCTACCCGTTTGGTTTTGTTTTTAGATTCGATTTTGTCGGGTTCGCCGGGGGTGCTGAGCAATCCGTTCGTGCACGGGCTGGCGTCGCCGTTGGCGGCGCCCTATTCGGGCGGCGTGGCCGGCGGCATACCCGGCTTGGGGAACTTCGCCTTGGGCCAGACGGCGCCGGGGCTGAGGAGCTTGGGTAATCCGGGCCTCGCCATGGCGACCGTGCTGTTGGTCAGCAATCTCAACGAAGAGGTCAGTATATGAAGGGCGATTTTGTATCGGTGATTGGGGGGGGATTCGAAATGATGTTATCATACTTTACAATGGATAGTTTTGTTATTGTTTTATTTTATTTTTTTCTACGAGTTCTTTTAGTTTTGTTGTTTATTTTGGAGGACTAGAGTACGATTACTTCTAGCGAGAAAAGACGCTTTGGAAAAGAATAATTGCCTAATGTGAAGATCTCTCTCTGTGTAATGCTTTTTTTTGTATTTATGTTTGAGTCTAAACATTGAGAATTAGAATTGATTATACGAGAAATTTAAACAATTTAATTTGAAGATAAAAGTAGTGTTATATACAATAATGTCGCTTTAGCTGGATGTAATAGAAAGTTTCTTTAGAATAACGAATAATTTTTCAGTAATTTTGATGAAGAATAGAACGTTTCCTTGGTTTGTTTTTGTTGGTAGAAATGTATATAGCATTAATCATCCTAATCATTTATACGAAATTAAAAAAAAATCTCTTCATACTCTGTTTATTAATCTTTTAATTTTTCTCTTTTTAATTTCCGATCGTTACTCGATGAAACATGCTATATAACGTTCTTAAAGCTCTCGAATATATTGTATGCGGGAAAATGACAGAAGCTTTACGAACCTCATTTCTTTACAAGCGTCTGTTTTAATTTATTTGGTTTTATATTTTATTTATTTAAATAACAATATAATTCTAATGCTGTTTTTTCTTTTTTTTTACATTTGCTGCCCCTCCGGTGGCATAAACGCCTACCTCTTTGTGCCACGTTACATCCTACTGTCATCTTTTTCTATTGTAGATGGTCACGCCTGATGCTCTCTTTACACTATTTGGTATGTTTTCACACTTATTATATCTTCGAACTACCAAGCAGATATTTATTTTTCGGTGCATTTTATTTTGTCTAAAAACAAACATATCTGCGTGGTCATTAAAATGTACGAAAACTCTGTTATTTTTTAGTAACGCACGTTTGCATTGCATTGCGCTTTTATATTATGTAAAACGATTCGTTGTGTATTGGTAAAAGAAAACAACAGGGTTTATGTCCAATTTGCTTGGAGTAATATTTCCGAATTAACAGTTTCAATTTCCGAACCAATGGACTATTAAGTCGGTAACGTAAAACACACGCGAAATCGTAATGAAAGTTATCGAATAAATTTGTATCGTTGAAATCTAATCGTAGTTTTGTTTAATAATTATGCAATGGTGTTTTTTTTACGTTACTGGTTTTATTCGTCAAGTGAATTGGATGCTAATCATTACTTATCTGTTTTAATGTTTTTTTTTTGTGCATTTTTACGTCGATAAATGTATTCTTTTATTGTTTTTGTTGGTAAACGAGCTTTCTGCTTAGATTCATCTGGTTGTAATTTATTAAAAATTGTATGTCGATTCTGCGACTATTATAGTACAAAAGTTACAGATTCGTAGTATTAGTTTTTTTTTAATTCGTTAAATACGTACCTAGTGATTATTTTTTGTATTCAGTAGAAATATGTGAGTTTCCATTCTTGCATGATTTCCGTTTCGGTTTACTTAATTATTTTCTACATATTTTTTTTTTGTGATTGAAGTATGTTTAGATTAATTTTTTTATCCACTCGTTTTTTGATCGTTTAGCTAATTGTTTCGTTAGTTTCTATCGAATTTTTCAATATTTTTTGTCGTTTTTTAGGCGTCTACGGTGACGTGCAACGGGTGAAAATCATGTACAATAAAAAGGACTCGGCTCTGGTGCAATTGGCCGAACCCCATCAAGCCCATTTAGGTTTGTTCAACGACGATTTATAATCATTGATCAATGGAGAGGATGGGTTTTTAATTGATTATTTTTTTCAGCCATAACGCACATGGACAAGCTAAAAGTGTTCGGTAAAAATATAAGAGTGATGTTGAGTAAACACCAAAGCGTACAAATGCCTAAGGAGGGACAGCCTGACGCAGGTTTGACCAAAGATTACAGCCAGAGTCCATTGCACAGGTATGATTGGCAATTGCATAAGCGATCTAAGAATCATTCAAATGGCGATTTTTTTTCTAGATTCAAGAAACCTGGATCGAAGAATTACCAAAATATCTACCCACCCTCGTCGACGCTGCATTTGAGCAACATTCCTGCGACCATTAACGAGGACGATATCAAGGAAGCATTCACTAAGAATGGTTTTACGGTTAAGGCTTTCAAATTTTTCCCGTAAGTAACATACAAAATCCTATCCCTGAATGTTAATAATGCGAATATTAAACAAGTCACGTAACTTTAATTTACTTAAATATACTTATAACAACTGTTTTATACACAAAATTTGAGGTACTAAGTGCATATTTTAACCGCAAAGGGCAAATGTCAAATGTCACAAATATCATATGTCAAGCTCAAATGTCAAAAATCCACAGAACAACGGGTTATTGGTACTAGAATATCAAAGATTGCCGAATTCCATATTTGCAAATTTTTGTATGTATTAATATGGATTTTTTTTAATATTTTTTAGGAAAGACAGGAAAATGGCCTTGATCCAATTGCCAAGCATGGAGGAGGCGGTTGTGGCTTTGATAAAGATGCACAACTATCAACTGTCTGACTCCAATCACCTTAGGGTCTCGTTCTCGAAATCTAGTATTTAAGAGGCGTTTGTTAAACATTAAAACAAAACAGTATTCATTCCATTTTACAAAAAATATATATTTAAATATATATATATAAATAGATATATATATATACATAAAAAAAATTGCGTTCGTGGTCGAGTCGAAGATTCAAGTATCACGAAAACAAGATGACATGGTAGCTAATGAAGTTCGCTTATTTATTATTATTAATATAATATATAGACTGTTATTTTTTGGCAGGATTTATGTAACTTTCGATATATTTTTTTGTTCGAACGACGAGCATGTTGATAGTCGTTTTGTATTTTTTTATCGATTAAGTGTTTTAAATGTTAAGTTAGATTTATTCTTCTCAATTTTGTATTATCGTTAATTGCGGTTATATTTCTATTCGTTTACGAGTGTGTATTCGTTGCTACAATTGGTGCATAATTTAAAATGAAATTATAACTTTGCTAAATTTTGCTCGATATTGATTCGTTGATAAGTACAAAAAAAACGGTTTTATTTTGTATGCGTACCATTTGTAGTAAAATTGCGTTTATTTCAGTATTGGAAGGCTTTAATACTGTTAGTAAAAAATATATAGTTGTGGTTGGTATAAAAAACGCGGCGTGATGTTATTTTTTGTAAGTTTATAGAAATGTTTATCCATGTTGTATAGGCAAAAAAAAATTGATGAAAAACGCGCAAGTTTTTGTTTCGGCGAGCCCGAAAGTTTAGTATTATTGTATGGCTAGTACTGTTAGTGATGTCGCGGAATTTTTAGAAATATCGTTAGTTTTTAGCCAGTGATTAGCATAGGAAAATACCACAGGGTCTAGTTCTACCCTAGAGATATGGACGTCTTTCTTATCAGCAGATATTTAAAAAAAAGGCATGTATATTCATTGACGTTCGACGGGCGGATTTGTTACGCTCATTGCGAATATATTTTTTATTTTTGAATTTTGTTGGGGGTTTTCCGCCCGTCGCGAACCGTTTTCCCGGTAACGGCCGATATTTTTTTTGAAAATGCGCAAATTCATTTACCGAGCCGCTACCGGGGACGCGCGTTCTCATTTCATAGCTATTAGAAACACAAAAAAACTAACTATACATTTCTTATAATCTTACTACTAAAATACTATACACTTGACAATCATTCATACTATTTGCAAATACTGAATGTAAACGCGTGACCTAATCTTCTCTATATTTCTTGTCTCTATGGGAAAGTAAAAGGAGAATTTTTATACAGGTTTTGAAAAAGTGTTTTTTAGATTGCGACCATTTAGCTCTTTGTTTTTATAACGAAACAAGCGGATGAAATCGTTTCGAAATAATTTGTAACTAAGAATAAAAGGCATGAACAGTTCTACTGTGATACGATTGTATACATATCTGGCGTTAATTTTGCACGTGAAATTAATTCAAATTGCGGAATTGTTTCGAATCGATATCCGCAAATCAATCGACGATGGTGCGGAGCTAAATGCGTTTTTACTTATCGAGAAGACGCGCAGCATTTTTGCCAAATTCGAAGTCAATATCTACATAAAAATAACTGTGTGTGTGTTGATAAATCTATTTTTTAAATTTTATAATTTTTACGTACGCGCACAACGTTTGTAACTCACCGTTTAGGCGTTTCTGTTAACTCGTGAAATAGATGTGTTTTTCCGTTGAATTTTTGTATCGTTTGCGCCGCTTGTTAATTATTAGATTTTCTCCTTTTTGTGTTCAATATCGGTCGATTTCTGACGCATTTCAGATTACTCGTTTTGTTTATTTATGTTAATTTGAGACTCTCGCAGGTGTCGAGCAGCTAATCTAGTTTCCAATACAGCTTTTGACAATCATATTTTATATAAAAAAATGCTTGTATTTTTAATTAATCTGTTTACAGGAGATCTTACCTTAGTGAGTTCTTACAGAGACGTATTAGCATCTAGATTGGTAGAATTCAAACAACAATGGCTCGCTTCGTGATAATAAAGGCTTAAAATTCGCGCGAGAGTCTCGAATGCGGTTTATTATTTATTCAGTTTAGTTTTTGAATGTGAACTGGCACATGCGTTGAAAATTTGCTAACGGCCTCTGTGCCTGACTGTGGGATCAAATGAAACAAATCATTAAATGAAAAAAGTGAATAAAAGAAAATTATCTATGTGAAATGTTGCATTAAACACAGAAACATTTTATCATTACATATTATCTAATATCTATCCACCATTATACTCTCTATTTACATAGTAGGTAACATTTTAGGGATATGCGAAAAAATTGGTTTTTTTGTATAAGTGTTTCGAATTTCTAAATATTACTGCCAGCTTTTCTTCGATAAAAAATTGTTGAAAATTAAAAAAATTTGCATGTAAATAATATTTTTGGTCGATATATAGAAATTCTATAATGCCCACTTGTATTTTTTGACAGATTTTAATGCGGAAAACGATAATCGGAAAAAAATAACAAGAAAATCGCAATATTTGAGATAAGTTGTCGAATGTGATCAATAAATAAAAATTTCATTATTTAGTTCTAAGAAAATCGCAATATTTTCGCCTGAAAATATTTCGAATTAATAATCTAATTTTATTCTTGAAATTTCAAAGAAAGAGTTAGCCGCGAAGTTAGTTACAGGTAAATAATTTCAACAAAAATCGATTGTAATCGAAGAATTGGCTGTATTTCTTTATAAAAGAGGCCAAAAAATTTAAAAAAACCCGAATTACCGGCATGTCCATAGTGTCATTTGTCATTAAAATTAATGTCGTTCGGTAATTAGAATTTCTCGATAATAAACTTTTACAATTTCGCCGAAAACTATAAAAGTACGTGTGTTTTTCACGCTGTTATTGAATTTACGGGTTATTTATCGACAATTTGTTTCAACTGTTTGTAATTGAAGCGTTAGTTGTTGGAAACTTCTGCTACTACACCTACAAGCGAAGGTAAGATTTTTTTTTATTATTTTTTTATTATTTCCCCTTGAAAATTTTCCGATTTGGCTCCGTGAAAGCTTAATTTACGGTGTATTACAAATTATCTGATTCCTACCGCATAAAAATCTGTTCGAAAATAAGTAAAGTGTGCGTTCTAGAATATTTACATGGTTATCTAGGATCGTAATTCATAAAAAAAGAAGTCACGTGATTTTATTAGTCAAAATGCAACAGTTCTGTCAAATGTCAATTGAATGTAAACCATTTCAATAATACCCATATTACATATTTTAAAAACGAATATCTTAAATACATATTTGAATGACTTTGTAAAAATGCAATATGCGATTTTAGATAACACGTTCCTATACATGCACGTGTAAAAAGCTTGATGACTTTTAACATTAAATTTGTTGAAATAAGTTGGATATTTATATTTATAATGTTAATTATTTGCGTGCAATATAAAAATTAAATTTGAAACTACAGGGTAACGCTACATATTTAACTATTCGAAATGCTATTCTGAATATTAAATGTGTTCTTTAAATGAATAAATTTTTCGTATATCCGAAACTTTTAGAGATAACGTAGAGTTTAGCTTAAACTTATGGGCACAAATTGAATTTAAACAAACATGATACCAAATGGATTTTTTGCACAACAGTTTTTTCTCTTTACACGTTTTTTCTCGAATATTCTCGTTTGAATCATTCACAGGGTTATAAATATGTATATTGATTGCTCTTTGCTAGTGTTAAAATATAATTGATTAGAAACGAATTATTGAAAAGAGAGCTATAATTATTTTTATTTTAGGTTGTAATATTTGTAAAATATACATAGTGTAGTGTACCAAAATTTTCCACATTGTATTCATTTCGACAAGAGTCTGGTTAAACAACAATATTTGTACTATTTATAGTTATAGTTCTCTGCAGCGTTTTCATTTAAAAAAAAAGAGAAATTAATTAACTTCAGTCGAATAGTAGAAAAAACTATTGTTTTTCGTACGTTTTTCTTTCACAACTTATAGAGTTGATTGTAATAAATTATATAAATGGGTGCCAACATCAGTATTAATCTAACGTGTTAAATTAAACGATTGGCCAGTTCTGTTGGAGAAAATAAAAATATGTTAGAAAAAAAATAGCATGATACTTCCAACAAAAAAAAATAATGAAGATGTATATTTATTTAAATTAGTTAATACATCTATATATCATGTATTCAGATACATATTAACTCTATATCAACATATATGATTCTAAAATGTTTTAGAGTTATTCTTTGTCATTTTACAATAAAAAGTTGAGATAATTTGTAGCTTTTGTTTTTATGTTCCTATAAGGAACTTTGTGATATAGTCGTTTGGTCTCCTAAATTCACCCGAAATTAATATATCAAAATTTGCCCACACCTCCTTATGTCTTCTATTTCCATGTCTAAAATTTTATTGCAGTAATGTTGGCAAGGTATTTTTTTCGAGTAAATAAAAATCCAACTTAAATTAGTAGAACTTATATTTTTTTATAATAATAAAATCGCAGGAGAAATAAATTAACTTAATTTTGAAAACTTTACTGTGTAGTAATATACACACTGTATTTACAATGGTAGATTATAACCAAGGAAAAAAACTGTGAACGATTGTATAAAATAAAAGTATAGGTACAGTACAAGAAACAATAATATAACGATACATTTTTTTTGCATTCTAGAACATGACTTTTTAACTATTCTTATCACAAAAGTCCGTGGTCAGCGAATACCACTATTTTTACACAAACAGCACAGTATAAATAAGTAACATGTAATTTTAGTTGCGAGTTTCTTTTTAACCATATGGACATATTTTGCTTGACAAGTCTTAGGCCACCTTCAAAAAAAAAAGACATTGATCACAAAAATGTAACAACGGATTGTTAATTGATAGCAATTAGATATATTCCTTCATTTATAAAATTTCAATATTCGAGAACACTCAAAGAGCAGCTCATAAATCACTGTAATTCCGAAAGAAAATTATCAAATTATTTACAAAAAAAAACATCAACGATTTTTTAAGATGGTCTACGACTTCTATATTGCAGCACAAATATTACAAGATATTTACAATATTACTACAAGGTGATTGCAAAACCAGCCGATACGTACTGCATAACAACTTGGCGTCCATAATAAAAAGAACGATCCCTGTACACTAATCTAATCAACCAATTTGAAAAATTTCTAAGTCAGCAACGGTTTTGGCAAACCCCTTTTTGTAAAAATTTTGATCTTGTTTCAAGACATTTCGCATTCACTTTAACCTCGGAAATATTCAAAATTTAAGCCGTCATTTATATACATATAACTTAGAATCTAAATTGTAAATTTGGTTTTGAATATCGAGATTTTCACTTTCATTGATTTGGCATCAAACTAAAAATGATGATAAAATTTGCTTTTTTTCCTGTTCTACGAAATTACAACGTTTGATTGATACAACCATGGAATAGTTACTACAATTACTTTTTTTTAAGCAAAAGATATCTGAAGAGCTTAAGTTATATTCGCTTAATGGACGTTTTTTATCGTAAATCAAAAATGCAAATTAGTTGATTTTTACCTACTGAAGATTTCTCAAATTTTCTTCTCAATATCTTTTACCCTTTACTGGTGACACTTGTGTCATAGTTTTGTTTCAATGACTGTTTACTTCCAAGAAAAATTTCTACTGTTTTTTCTAGTAATTTAGGTTTGATAATACTTTTAAAAAATATCCTTCGTACATAAATTAAGTTAAACATCTAAATTCCGTGAAAACTAAAAACGGGATGTTTTTGAAAATTTGTACAAGTAATTAAGTAAGAAAATAATTACTCAAAGTCGATAAGGAAATTGAACATTTTCGAAATGTACTTGTACAATCAAACTCTCTTTTCCTACGAATATTCCTTCGAACGATAAAGCAAATAAATTTAAATTTTAAAATAAGTCGAGATGGATACCATCTAAATAGGTTCTTCAGAATAATCACTAGGAAAACGTTTTCCTTCAACGCGAACATACCAATTTATTTCGTACTTAAAAAAAACAAAATTTAGTCATGCCGTTTAAATAAATTGATGCTAAATCAATTGCGAACGTCTCAAAAAAGCTGCTAATAATCGATGATTAAATGAGAAAATAAAACTGAAGGAATCTTTTAACAAGCAAAATCTAGTGCCTATTGTCGAGCATGTTCGTTTTTGGTGAATTTCTAAAAATAATACTCGACAAACCAAATATTTCGGGGTGTATGCAAAAACAGCCACCTTATTCAAGAGCAGCAATTAAAACTGCCAACGTTTACTCGCCTTCAAAACTATAACAAGAAATTGACCTGTACAGCTAATAGCAAAATATTCATTCATATTTAAAGTAATATAATCTCACAGTGAACAATAAGAATACTATTTATAAGTAAAATTGTACAAAAAAATGTATAAAGAAAATAAAATACAAGCAGTAAAATGTTCTTAGTTACAGGAAGAGTTGTTAGGTGAACAATTCTTTACGTTGTATGTTGATTTTTTTCACGACAAGTAATCGTCGGCAGTTTTTTTATCCAATACCGATCTTTTATTATAATATAACAGGGAAATATGAATAATTTTTCTCATCTTTATATACATAATACGCTATCATTTTTTTATGTTTAATAAAAGACGGTAAAAGGGAGATGACTATGGAAAACTGGAGGGTATTTGCAAAACCAAAAAACGTTATGGTACAAAGCAAGGTCACTTTCAAAATAACTTAATTGTTTCTCACACATTCTCACTCTCTCGCACACAATCTCTCTCTCTATATATATAATATATTTATCTTTATTTTCATACAGGATATTCCATCAAGACGACTTTTGTATAAATATTTGTAATTTCAAAAATTTTAGTAGAACTTCCATGTATAAAAAAATGTAATGACTATGAGTTTTGCACTTTTTCTCAATTGGACAGTAATTTTTAAATAGTTGGTACTAAAATTCTGCAACAAACATTTGTTCAAAAGAAAAAATAAATAAAGTACAACAATTCACGTTCAATGGAATGTCAAAAAACTGCTCTAAATTAAGGAATCAAATCGTTTTGTCGTGCACGTTTCCTTGAATTTTGGACAAGACTTTTCGTACCAACTAAATTACAGAACAAGGAGGCCATTTTTTTTTTCAAGCATTAAAGAGAAGAGGTTTAAAATTTCTTATTTCGCACTATAACGTGTCATTTCAATACTATTTTTCACAACGTCCACTCTCAAAAAAAATAATCAGTCTAATTGAAATATAATAAAAACGAAACAAGGCCATTTCAAATAAAAAACGTCCCTTGATAGAATAGAAGAACAAACATAACCGATAATGTAATGTTTCTTACTTCTTCCGAATTTAGTCAGATCCCTCAGGAAGATTTGTAAATTTCGCTGGTAACGAACCGTTCACGTATCGGCGGCAACAACGAAAATCGTTATTAAAATAATAAACTACAGTAAATCATATCGCGATTTACGAGAATTAAATTTTAATCGTTAACTATTGACAATCGAGAATATTTTCCAATTAAAATAAAAACCGATTTTTTTACTTATAACTTTTGACTAGATAGCGCTGTGAAGATATAAAACGAAAACAACGATTTTTTCGTCGATTACGCAGATACGGGTTTACAAAATAATTTGAAAGAAAAACCAATCCGTTACCGCAGCGAATTTTAGATTCGTTTTATTGACTTTTTTTCCGCTAAAAAGGGAAACCGACTAGGATGATTACTTAGAATTAAACACAGCACTGCACTAGGAGGATGAGGATGCGTTCATGGCGCCGAAAATACCCGTCGAAAACGATGCCGATTGTTGTTGTTGTTGTTGCTGCTGCTGTTGCTGCTGCTGTTGTTGATTCGACGTTAGTCTCGAATGCTTAGGCATCGGCGGTTGGAGGTATTCGTGCCTCGCCAGCGACAGGACATCGATTCGATCCTCCTTTCTATACGCCAGGCAACTACGAATAAAGCTCTACAAAAGAAAATAAAAATCATTAATACCGTTAAATTAAACATTTCTAATGATGCTAATAACTGTTGTTTATTATGCATCATTGGAAGTAAATAAGAGCTTAAAAGGGTATTTTAATATTATAGGTAAATTGGGCGCAAGAATATTTTATGTAGTAAGGTGAATTCACTGCAAACTTTGAGTGAAATTAAGTTTATTTGGGCGTTGTTTTAAAAAGTAGTACAATGAACGAGAAAATGATATTTACCTTCGCTTCATTTGTAACGGCCGGCTTATTGGCGAACTGAACTTCAGTCGCCTTTAATATAGTATTTTCTTCTAAAATTGTCGCTTGCGACTGATTGTGCCCAAACGGTTTCTTTCCGTACAAGCACTGATAAAATATCACACCTATACTCCACACGTCAACTTTCGATGAAATCTTCGGGGGGTTCTTGCCGACTACGAAACACTCCGGTGGAAGGTACCTACAAAACAATTAATACATTTAATTTAAATCCTAATAATTTTCATACAAATTCGTATACGGATGTACAAGTAGGAATATTTACCAGTATGTTCCTGCGCCCTGCGACGTCAAGTCCATACCGTGATCGGGGTTGTAGTTCTCCTCGTCCATAACTTTACTAAGGCCGAAATCCGTGATTTTGATTTCACCGCAAACGTTACCTTCCGTCAACAGTATGTTGCCCGGCTTCAGATCGTAATGGATGACGGGCGGCTTGATCTCGTTCAGGTACTTCAGGGCCGATACGACCTGCATTATGATCGACCTCGCCTCCCGTTCGGGTATCGTTTTATGCTGGAAATCGCAATAATATTATTATTTAACGTACAATAAGATTCTCGATTGGATGTGCATTTGTAAAATTTATCATCTTACCTGCTTTAGGTAAAAATCAAGGTCGTGTCCATCACAGTATTCTAGTACAGTACAAAAAGAATTCGCGTCTATTTCGAATACATCATACAATTTAACTACTCGCGGATGATCTAATGCCTTGTGTATGTTGTACTCCCTCAACGCGTGCCTGAAAGTAATTAAACGATTTTAGGTTAAACCCGTCGACATTTTCATTGAAATTTTATACATTATTTTATAAAATAGTAATAACGTTACCACTCACTTTATGTAGTTGGCTTTTTTGTCTTCCTTCCAGTCCTTATTTAATTGGTGCACCTTACAGGCGACGTACCTCTGTTCTTTGAGATCAAACGCCTTGTGCACCTCACTGAAACCCCCTTTGCCTAATAACATCAGCAGAAGATACCTGCAAAACGCGCGACAAATTACGATTCGTCTAGTAGAAGAGAAAACACCAACGTACCTATCGTTGAGCACCGGGTGATTATTAAACCTACTCTGGTCCTCGTTGTGGATACGTTTCAACTCCCTGATGTGCAAGTTCCGTTCCCTTTCCAATTTCTCCATTTCGAGCTGGAGATCGGCGTCCTCCTTTTTGAGCGCGTTCTGCCGCAACTTGAGAATTTCGTCGGCTTCGTAGTACTCCTGCAATGTGAGAGAACCGGGCACCGCGTCCGGCTTCAGAAAACCGGAATCCGTCCCGTTGTGCAACGCGTTCGAATTGTTCCGCTTCCGGCCGCTTTCGTTATTCGATGGCCTCTTCTTTAACAATAATTTCTTTTGCCTATCTATTTCTTCTCGTTCCGCCGTTATTTCTTCTTGTCGCCTGAAATTTCGACAATACAATTAACTTGGTTTACACTAATGGTACAGGGATAATTTAGCATCGATAATTGCACTTGTACATTAAGTGTACATTTCGAGTAAAAATTTTTTTTACCTCGCTAATTCCTGAAAGGCGTGTCCGTCAGTCCAATTTTCCTGAAAAGTCGCGCCCACCCTTTGCGTCACAAACTGTCCTAATCTTAACCTATTTTGCATGCACTTTTGCCGCGCTTCCTTTTTCTCTATCGAACTTTTTTCTTTGAGCAGTTTTTTAACAACCTCTATACACTTATTCACTTGCTGCTTATGTTGGTCTATGGACTTCTGTTGCGTCGATATTTGATGCCTCAAATCGTCATTGGCGCGTTTTAATTCGTCTATTTTAGTATTTGCGATTTCTAAGTCCGAAGACGCTTGCGTTTCGAACTCTTGTATCCTATGACATGTTAAATCAGTCTGAAACAACAAACAAATATCAATCAATAAGTACCGCAAGAGTACACCAAGCTGGTCTCGTACGACCGGCACAACAGCCAAAAATTAGTGTAGTGTAAGACTTGCCTGTATTAATTTGCTACACGTTGCCGGTGGGGTTACCCTCATCGGTGGTTTATTATAATATTCAAAAGGAACAGTATTACAAACATTCGGGGACGACATCCCCACTTGTTGTTGCGACGGAGGTAACTAAAACAATAAAGAAAAAATTAATAAAACGTTACATCGATAGGTTTTTTTTGTGATAAACTTACCATTGCGTAGGGTTGTTGCGGCGAAGGGCTCTTCGCGCCGCCGTGCCTGATAGGACTATGGCTATTTCCCGGATGCTTGGTCATGTAGTCGTTGATTTTCTTCTCCGTCGATTGATTTCTAATAGTCGCCTTCGCCACGGGCAGCCCGATCACCCCTCCCCCGCCGCTATCCTCCGCTTTCCGTTTCCTCTTCCTTTCGCTGGGCGTTCTAGGTATTTTTTCCGGAGTATTAGGATCCAACTCTTTGTCGCTATGAGAGGAACCTGGAAAGAGACAGTCGTACTTATAAGAAACGATGTAAAACAGTTCGATGATTTCTTAATACGATGTGAAGAAAAAAGCCGAATCGGACGCTTTCTATGCCGTAAGATCCGAATAAATGAATTTTGAAACGGTATTACTAACGAATAAATTCGTTGACCTCTTTGAACGGATAAGAAATAAAAAATCGTACTCGTATACATGAACCAAATTGTACTTGCGACTATTAGACTTTCACCTTACCTAATGAAACTAATTTGTTCTTTACAATAATTATTAATTTGTGGCAGAAAATCGAATTTCACAATCAACGAGGAATTCTTATGAAACCTCAATGTACCTCAATTCAAAATATGAACATATTTATATAGTCATCAAATCATAGGTGCTCAAGAAACACCCTACAATACTCATTTATATGATTATAAAGTTTAAAAGTAGAAATTTTGATTCAACATTCTATTTACTCGATACCATACTATTAAATACAACTTTGCAAACTTTTGTAATTATTCGAGTTATTACGTACAGTAATTTCGTGACCGGTTTCCTACATTAAAGTATAAAACAAATTACTCTATTACTAATTGAAAGATTCGCCAATTAATTAACTAAGTATCTAACAGAAAAAAAACATATTTGAAATCAATTAATCAATAAATAAATTGATTGATACATTCGAGCTAAATCGTCGATTAGTTTTATTCGTCCAGCGATTAACCTAATGATTAACTAATCAAATTCTTCGGTTAAAGTTAAAACTCACTGAATTTTGCGTAGTTACTCTCATTTCTACATATTAAATACATCTGTAAAAGATGTTCCGCGTAGACGACACTCATTTGGGAGGATGTTAAATGGGGAAAAAAAATATCTCTACGATTCGTTTGGTTGAAGGTAGAGAGGTAGACAGCTTTCGATCATTTCATACCTACGTTTTATAAATAGATTCGAATTCTCGGTATTCCATTTTCTTTGCCGTTCTATCCGATATCGGCGCGTCTCTCTCGCGCCGACTTTACCCTCTTCCATGAAAAATACATGAGTAAACATTCAATGAGCAACAAAAGTCTTGTCCGATATTTTTAGACCGGTTAGTAGAATACACATATATATTCACAAGTTACGAGATTACATTATAAACCTTCATGTTGAAGCCGATGATAATTAAGCGACCGAAACTGAACTACTTGGCACTTCCGATGTTCTCATTCGATTTGCGCGATTTTTCAAACAGAATTACTTAGATATTTTAGATTTTTTTAAAGCGAATGAGAATGTTCTTTGTGGAAGAAAAAATCTGTTTAATTACGCGTCCAATTCACCTTGGCTTCGTACTTTACTTGATCAAACAGAAGTAGTAAATAGAAAGAAAATAATCGGATAAATTTCATAGTACGAAGTAGGTAGAAAGATTTCTTACGACTCTAATAAAATAAAATTTGCGATATGGGTAATATGAAGTTCGAAAATTAAAAATAAAATTGACAAGAGAATACGCAGACACACAATCTGGGTTCCAAGTAAACTACAATCGTCGATCGATTTAATAATTCTAAAAATAATCCAAAAATAAAAACCCGATGTGCTGCAAATATTTTTTTGTTGGTGATCTAATATGGTTTGGGAAAATGGACATTTTCAAGGACATTTCATTTCATGACGAACTTTCTACGTAAGTACACTTTTTTTTATTCAATTATTATTGTTCTGTCGTCAGGCGGACACATAAAACGTATTTACATACATAGTAAGTATACTCGTAATCAGAAAATATACTGCAAAGTTGAACCGAAACCAACCTGTATGTTTTCTAAATATTTTACTGTAGGTACTTCCACTAAATTATTGTAACACATTATCAGTAAACAATATAAAATGGAAAAATACCAATCATAAAAGAATAATACATTATAATTTCGTCAAGGCCGCACCGAATAGTCGGTATCACATTTAATTAAAAAAAATACATTCGTATTTAAATTATCACTAATACGTATACACACGTATCTTATACCCTATTATTAATAGATATTTCTAAGTATCTCGTAATTAATTGTTTATGAGGCTCAATAAATAACCCCGCTTATTCACGTAAATTTCTAATGTAGTTAGTGCAGGTGCCTTCCAATAAAAATCGCAAATTGATAAGATTCAATGTACACGTTTCAATTGTTGGTTCAAAGACTGCGTGATTTTGCAGTTTTCGTAGAAACAAATTTATTAATTATTTACCTGTACTCATATTGGAGTCTTGGCTATGTACGGGTTGAGTCGTGTTTACTGTTGACTGTGGTGCCATCTGTATCTGAGATCCAGCTGACATCTGTAACAAAACATAATACATTCAATTAAGAACGAACAAAATGAAAATTACTTCTTCACCTCAACAAATACCAAAGAGAAATTTCTAGCATTCGTTAAAATCTGTTAGTTCTCAAAACGGTTCGTTTGCGCTCTTGTTCCGACTAACAAAATTAATTATCAGATGTATTATATTTTTAACACTGTATCGATGTTTTAAAGAAAATTGTAAATTCGCGCATCGAAGGTCTTATGCATTTCGAATGATGTCATTCTTGACAATGACACATTTCTTTTTTATTCGCGAGCAGTCTCAACGTTTTCGGATATGGTAGAACACGTAATATCAAATGCATCCTGCGGCAAGATAATGGTAAAATTCCAACAGAACTTTACGGAAAATAAATAATCTTTTTTAGTTTGGGGCACATCAAAAAAGTCACGAAACGTTTGTGTTACCATAAATTTATTAACAGGAATCTTTTTGGCAAGTATTTAACTCCTTTGAAAACAAAACTACGTTTTCCGGTTAGCAATTTATAGAAACCCTCACAGATCGACAGGAATAACTGGGCACGCTAGATGCGCGAACTTGGCAACTTAATAACATTATTTATACGATAATGAACCTTGGTTTGATAAACTTGCTTGTACCAATGGTAACTATAGAACTGCCTTGGTCAAATAATACCTACTTACTTTTTGAAATAAAATTTTACAAATTAAACCATTTTATATTTTAATCAAATTCGATATTGTTTAGGCTCAAACTAACTTGGAGACATTCCAAATAAAACGTGACGTTTCTCGAATGATTTGTAGTTTCCAACTTAATCGCACTAAAAAAAAGTTCCTGCTAAATTCGTACGTTTATTAAGCTTTTGATTATGCTAAATATTATATTAGTCTCGAAGTGAAAACAAGCAAAAGCTTTTATATTCGAATAGTAAAAGTACAAAAACCTCCGATTTAAATGCAATGAAATTAACGCCAAATCGAAAAAAAAATTCTTTCACAATTACGTTACAAATACTAATTACTCAATAAGTCGAATGTTCTCAGTTTAGATAGTAGGTGCACATGATATAACTTACCGAGGTACAAATTAGAATCCGTCGATTGAATTATTTTACTACAAATGTTTTACAAGACCGGTTGAATTTATAAATAATCGAAAAAAATCACACGAAGCCATCGCAGTCGTACAACGAAGTAGATAAAAGTTTTTTTTTGTTATAAGTGTACGTAAGTAAAACCTATATAGGATGATAAAATGTCGCGAACACACTAGCCAAAACAATTATTTAACAAATAATTGCATGAATTAATAACGAACCTACGTTCTACAATATAAGCCAATCGTAATTTTTTTGACTCGAAGTGAGTTTACATTATACATAGGCGGAGCGCGAGTACTCGTCTAGTAGGTTATTTAATCTCGCATTAAATGTTTTGTTTTACGTCACAGATGGTAGATAATAGGTTGGAAATTACAATTCCGAAAGTAGAATGGAGAGTTTAATGGAAAGCCGCAGAAAATTATTAAAATATATTTACTTGGTGATTTTGCCGTTGTAAGTAGATCTGATGCAGAGAGTGCTGGATTCTTTCAATTTCTTTCAAACAATTTCAACTGTACGTATTAGATTATGAAGTTTCATTTACTTGGAAATTAAATAATTTTTAACAGAAATGTTTATTAGAATTTTAAACGACCTTGAAGTTATATTCTCGCTAATTATATCGTTAAAACTTGTTATTATTATATCATTTTTGAAACGGTTGAAATTATCACAAAATGTTAACTTCATTATAGGTTTCAACAGTAATCGAAAATTGTGTTCAATAATAATACATGAAACGAACATTAATAAACTAGATTTCAGCGTTATTTTTCTTATAATAGGCGAAAGCATTACCTACGCTTATACTTGTAAAACACGACGAGAATAGGCTGATGACAACGTTCACTTTGACCTTTGACAAAAACAATACCAGCAGATAAAAATAAAAATTAAAGTGAAAGTTGCAAATTTCTTGGATAAGTCAATTACTTTTGCTTTTCATCAATAATTGAGAAGATTTCAATTTTGCTTATAATAAAATCATAGAACTTAAATTCTAAAGGGCGGGTTCATAAAGATTCTGTCAAAAAAATAAATTAATAATGACATTTGACAGGATATATTTTGAAATCAAAATCTAGCTGTCTTCTGTCTGTAAAAAAATTATTTTTATTAACGGAAAGTTTCTTAAGAACGATAAACAAAAACTTTCTCAGAATTAAATTTTAAATTGTTCCAAAAAATACACATTTTTTTTATTTTTAGCCGTGAAATTGGATAATAAACGATTCGATTCATTCGTTCTTAATTTCAAATGTCTGATTCAACGTAATTTTTTCGATTTTTTTGTTTACTATTCCGAATAGGTGAAATTCTCTATTATTGTTTTAATTTTATAGGTAATATAAATTATTTCTTTACGATTACTCTACGCTACTGACGTCCGAAATTCATACGTCACCATGGGTACAGCTGACAGATAAAGATAAGCTAGAAAATTGATAAGGAGGCGAAACGCTATACTTGAAAAAAAAATCTCGATTGCTAAGTTTCCGTTTATTTATGGGACAATGTTATCAAAGAATTACTGAATCAATTTCGATAATAACATTGTTGTTGCGCTTTATTATAAAATGTAGTAACTGGTAATAATAATGTCGTTTTGCGATCTACATGTACATACGTATTAATATTGTTTGTACATTTTTAATTTCAAGTAACTATATCGAACCGCTTGTTGTTAAAACCATCAATAAATCGAATGATATTTTTGAAAATAGAAATAAGTTACAGAATTCGTTAGTTTTGAACGTATGATTCATGAAAATGGTGTTAAAGTTGACAATATGCATAATTTTAGATTTTTTCATACTATTTTTGTGGGATTTTGAAGTGTTTATACTACCAGATACTTGAACTATTTTTAGACTTACTCAAGATTAAAACTGTACATACATACATAATAAGTACTACCAAAGCAAAGTTGCAGGTACCTACCTACCTAATCAATTCTGAGGAAAAACAAGAAAACGCTAAATTTAACGATTCGATTTGTTTAATTTCGTGTATAAATCCGCACCCTATTTATCACGTTGCAGTCACATCCTTTTATTTTAACTGTTGATATTTCTTGGAATTAGTTTCCCTTATCAGAACGATAAGATAAATCGCAATTCCTGGTGTTTTCCAATACATACATACATTACATCTTCACCTGCAGTTACAAGAAAAATTTATTTTCGGATAATCCTTCGAATTTTGGTTACTAATTCATAAATACGACCTTTCGTGCGGCTTTCATTCGGTAAACGGATCAATATAAGTTTTGTATAATATTTAAAGCTCAAATTTTACTGTAAGTAATCAAAACATGGTTGGCAGATTAGAAACGATTAGTAACAATTCCCCTAAATATTATATAAGAAACGTTGATAATATACAAAGTGTTTAGAGAAAACCGCTTTTACACAACACGTAGATATCAAAACACAAATATTGAAATAGTATAGGAAACTAAAAAATTACCTGCTCTCGAGTACAACACGACGAACATTTCGATTATACTACCAGCTGGGCCAAGTTTTAAACAACAAAAACGCACATTCGGATAATATACAGGTAGGTCGAAAATTATCTTATTAAAACAGTTACCTACATGGTCTCACTCACCATATACATTCATCGATTTTTATTAATAGAATATTTTATTTTTAGAAATAGTTTTAGACGCGTAATTACGTCTGTTGAGGAAATATTGTATTTATAATCGATTTTCGTATGTATGTCGCCGGATTTCGTACGAATAAAAGTAAATTGAAGAGTTTTACTATGTATAGACGTTTCAAATTAATACGAAATTTTTTCCTATCCTTGAAACATATTGATTTATTTATAATAGCAATAAAATCAATCGATTATACTAAACAATCTAAAAACGTGATTTACACACGACAATTCATAAAAAAAAATACGTAGATTAGTAAAGAGAGTTGGCGCCGTTGTTCGCCGGTCGCCGGTCGCGTAACCGTTCCACGACATCAGCCTATACAAATAACCGATCCACCTCTACACGCGTATAAAGCACAAAACGAAACGTTAATTAATCGAAAATCCTTACCAACAAACAGAAGACCGCCATGTCGGTCGGATCACGACGCAGCGCAATTACTGCACATTCGATGACACAAATTCGAATCGACGACGATCGGAAAATTTCTTCGCTCGTCCGACCGCTCGGTTTCGCGTCCGACCGAAAACCTTTCGGTACATCTCCGAAGACGGATAATTTTCTGACGGATTAAATCAATGCAACGCGTATAAGGCCTACTACTACCTAATAACTAGAATAAGTCGGGGTCCGAAACGAAACGGATCGGATCGGCAACAACACATTCGACATTTGACGGAAAGAGATGGAAACCGAACGACAGGACGGTAATTGGAAAGTTTTCTGTTTACCGTGCAGTTCGAGAAGCCCGTAAACGTTTATTGTTTTTTCAGTGTGTATTGTACGAGTCGAGTCTGGTTTATGGCGAAAACCTTGCAATTTCATTGGAGTTGTTTTTTTTTTGTTACGAGTTAGATTTATTGTCTATGATCTCGGTTCATTAAATATTACGTAGTAGGTAGGTATTCAAAGTTGAATCTAGTTTATGTCCAAAATATCAAGTATGTTTCTATTAGAAACTTGTCAATAATTGCGCAATGTACATTAAAAAAAATGATTATTAATCACTTATTGACCAGTTCATAAATTGGTAAGAAAAGTTTTATTGGTCAAGTTAGATCTTTCGAAAAAAAAGTTACAGCAAATTTAAAAGCTCACATAATTTAGCGAAATTATTAGCATGCCCAGCTGTGACTTTTTTGCATGCATTAGTGCGAATTTATCCAAAATATTTTAGCCAATAAAAGTGCGTTATGGCAAAAAATTGTTACAAACATGTTTAATTAGTACCTAACCGTTTTGTTTATTCAATTTATCCATATTATATTGAATCCATACATAACCAAACAACATTTTGTATATTCCCCAAAGTCAACAACCGTACGAAATTTAAACATTCAACATTTCCTCGAGCACACTAACCGACAGTTTTTCCATTAGCCATCATTTAACTGAAATAACCGAATTAATATGACCCGGTACTCGTATAACGTTTATAAGCAAGAGCATGAATAAACTAATTCATAAAAGATTATAGTTCCATTAGGAATATACAGAGCGTTTAGAAATTAGATGAGTTTCCGGAATGGAGTAAACGATTACGGACCTGCGGGGGAACGACATTTTTAGAACGGCTAATAAAGCTCTCCTCTCCTCTGCGAGAGCAAGAGTTTGTTGTGTTATGTATTTTCTTGTGTTGTGTGTATAATGTACAACGACGACCATTGAGTTCAGGTACACAAGACACATAATAGAATGCTAAATAATGTAGGTTATCGACCCTAACGCCGCTCCGCCGATGGCTATACGTACACTTTGCGAACTGTACGAACGTATAAAGCCGGCCATATTATTTCTTTCATTCTTTCCTTCCTTTTTTTTCCGTATTTCAGCCTCAAAGTCTTCGTGAAATCTTCGCGATAGGTACAAAGTCGCGCGTTGCGCGATGGCGAAATTCCACAATCACGTCTCTCTGGGTTAGTCCTCGTCGCTATAACGATGATACCCATCCTCGCTATACACTTCGATGACTTTACAACATTATTCCTTCGGTAAAATTACCGATAAATTACACAGAAAGTCATTTTTAATGGTTTAGTTATTGACAATTTTCGGTTTCACAAGGAGTATGCGAAGAAAACTATGTTTTAGAACAACCATTTTGGATTTAAATGAATAGTATTTTCCTTATATACTCTCAAAAGCTCCGTTTGTTATAAAAATATATATATTCGTTTTCAAAAACGTCATATCAATACAAATTCATGCATAATATAATTACAAATTTTAAGTATACTTGTGAAAATTAGCGATTTTAAAATTTCTAATGTTGTTTTCGTAAGAAGGAAACGCATAAAATGCATATTTGGCATATTTAACGTGACTTTTTTGTGTTTATTGAAGGTTTTTTTTAAATAACATGACGTATAGCGCAAATTTTTCTCGGTGATCGAACACGACAAAAATTCAATATCGACACATTATCAATACGAGATTAGATACATGCTATTTTATTAATTAGAGTAAAGAATTTTTCTTTAATACAATAAAAATTATAACAATAATATGCCATACGAACGATTCCAAACAATAAACTATTCGCCGTGATAATAGCGATATATCCATTAAGTGCGTACAGTCCCGTATAAAATATTCGAATACTGCAGTTGTAGTTGACGGAATATGCAATTAATTCGGTTACCTAATTGAAAATAATTAAAAAAATTCAGATAATTATTATTAAACTATACATGTTATTACATAATCCGACACTACACAACTTTAAACCTGTCATATCAGAATTTGCCGATGTATGAAACATTCGAAACGCTTAGAAAGTAGGCACCTATTAAACAAGAGAATCGAATTAAATTTATTATCCTTGATATTTGATATTTTTTTGTTTGGATTCGTTTTAAACGAAATTCTCCATTAAAGGAGCGCCCGATGTGATACAAACAACTATTTGAAATCATTTTTATTGCAATTGCGATTTGACCTTCGGCTCCATTGGAAATCGGCCAAATTAACACCTTTTAATCTCACCGTGTAAACGTAGTTTTTTCGAAATGCCATTAATTTACACTCACACACTCATCGGCTCATTAGAAAGACCGTTACATTGGCAATCACACGAAACAATAGGTTAACAAAAAAAAATACAAAAGTGGGAGTCGTTGAATGTAAAATAATTCATCAATATCGGGAATGTAAACATCTAATTTTAGCACAATAAAGAGGTAGTTGAGAGTACAAAAAAAAAGGTGGGACACCCGCGAACGCGAAGTATCGATCTTTCCTTTGATATGCGTGACAACTCATTTCCGTCATTTTGCCAACGGCGAAAATGATTCCAAGCGATTATCTAAAAATGGAAAATTTCATACGAACTCTACCATCAGGAAGCAATCGATTACCGAATTAATTGAATAACCAGCACCAGCATTTTCAATGCGGCCGTACGTATAGAAAATGCAGAGGAGACGCGCGAATTTCGAAGTAAAGTAAAAGCGGGTAATAACAACGTCTATATGCACGATTAAAATTTAAATAACAACGCACGACGTAAAAAAAAATCGACCCGACGAAGTACAGGGATTATTCCTATTAGATATCGAAACGAAGAGATCAATTTTCCAAATCGCACACACGAATATCGTGTAGCTCGTGACCGTTCAACGAGTTTCCCGTCGAATTTCGCCCAACATCTACAGCTTTCTTCTAAAAATACAATTAGCCAACGACTCCGCGACGAATATTTTCGTCGTCAATCGACTTTTCGAAATGTCCCAAACCATACAATCCCGTTCAAAAAATCGCTCCGATCCTCTCGCTCTCTATATCTCTATCCCATTCCCTCCGTTCGATCTCATCCCGTTCGGGGAATCGCGTACATGTGTACGTGGTGCAAGTAACTTACAAAATACACCGAGGAGTGTACTTTGGAGAAAAGGTCGCGGCGACGAAGAAGACGAAGCGAAGTGGGGGGCGAGAGACGTAGAGGAAACGCAAAAGGGGTCGGGGTGGATGGGCGGTTTAGGGGGTCGAAGGGGGAGCGAGAGGCACCAGAAGAGGATTGTCCAATCTGACACATTTGGAATAATCGATATCGCTAGCCGAGAACCCCTTTGGAAAGTTTCTTCCTTTCCGGTGGAACGAAGGCGATGCAGACTTGTACGTTTCGAATTATAATACAATCACTAATGTTTTATTCTAAATGTTATCGTCATTAAACTGTTAGTTAGAATGGCTTAACTGAAAGTGTCCTGTACGGGATTTTACCCACGTCGTATGGACGTCTCCGGACACACTTCTATATATCGCTCGACTCGCCAGCGTACAGTTTCTCACAGTGAAATTGTCTCATTGCATTAGAGGAAAAACGAATAAGAAGACCACATGCGATCAATAGGAAACCCCCAATGAAATTACTCCGGTTTAAACATAAATTCGGCAAGGATGCGGCTTTTCGCTTTGCCGGAACGAAAGCTAGATGGCGTTCGAACCGAATGGCTTATTTAAATCCGTAGGTAACGTGGGGAAATTAATAAAAAAGAAAACGTGGAAATTGGATCTATTACGTTCGAGTTAGAGTTGTTTGTTTTATTTTCGGTCACGTGTCTTTTGTATAGGTCGCATGATACAGTCCTGCCACTCTATTCTAAAATTCGTTATTTAAAGAATTGCTTATAAATAGAAATACTCAGTAATTGAAAATACATTGTTTATAAAACTGTTAGGTATAGATATTATAAAAAGCTGTGATTTAGCTTCAACCCACCTAAACGCGTAATTATTACATCGTCGAGTTAAATTCAAAGAAAAATAATAATCAAATGTTCTATTTATAAACGTTTATCATCGTTAACACTTTTGTTTAACTGGTGTCAGTCATTACAATGTTGCTTTCTGAAGAGATAATAAGAATTCCAACAACTAAATGCATGGATTAAGCTAAGAATGATGTACTTAATATTTCTGTACCAGATTAAAACACTAAAAATTTAAAATTAGCACTCGATTTTATGAAACAAAAATGTCAAATAATTCGAACAGACCTTGACGACGAAAAGAGTAATACAAAAAATGAAATTAAACGCCGCCATGCAACATCTACATACGATACGTATACGTTATTTCTTTGTTGTATGTGTATAAAGAGTAAAAGAGCATATAAAATAGGACTGGTTCGAAATTCTTTGTCTTATGGTGAAAATTTTTCGATACGGCTGTACAACGACCTTCATATTATACATCTATTCAGTGAGAACAAACCCCACGGATGCGGAGCGTACGTTTAAAAAAATATAAAACGCTTTTAACGTCTCGACCATCGGTAACCAAGACAGTTAATTTTGTCGTGGCTATATTTTCGAACAGGTAAAAATATAATTTTGATATTGCTGTACCTACACACGATAATCGATACGTGTTCATTGCAATGTTAAATCTACAATCTACTTTTACTACATAGAAACAATTTCGTGTTATTGATCCTAGGTTTCCCTATGAATAATAAGTTAATATAAGGGTTTTAAAAAAGGGTTTTCGCGAGCGAATTTGCAATTTGCACGCGACGTATTTCGAATACAGGGCGATTTATTGAAAAAAAAAGGGGGAATATATTTTTCTTGTCGAATAATATTTTAAATGAATTTAACAAGCCCACGCAGTCGAGATAAACTTATTCAAATTATAACAAAAGTGTTTTTTATTAGCCGTACTAGTCGTCCTGAAAACGTCGTTAAATTTAATTTTACTGTTATTATTAGTAGGTAATATAACGACTATATCATTAATAATTGATGTGGCATATCTTTGTTGAGCTACTTTCACTGTATAGTCTTACGTGTATTATTTATAATTTTTCGTTCGATAAAATATTAATCTTATACCCCGAGATCATCAACGAATTCTCCGTTCCTCCAAAAAGATACAGGAAAATAAATAAATTGTAAGTAAAGCTATATATCGAATATTTTACAAGGGCTTTGCTTTGTGGAAAACATGGGCGTTGTTTCAGAAATGACGCAGGAAACACAGGAAACGTTAACTGGAGGAACTTTTACGAAACATGTGCAGGCGACATCGAACCTCGTCCGGGATGAGATGGAGAACATCGAACCGACGTTCGGGAGAAGCGATGAAGAGGAGAAGGACGAGGGCGAGAAACCGAAGAAAATTTACCCAGTCCCCAGTCGGTATTGCCTCTCTCGTTCCATTAATTCCAACTTAAAACGTTCGTAATTCGAAAACGGTACATTCGACTACAAATAATAATCTCTTCCTAACATTAACATAACAATAAACCGAGACTTCGACTTTTACCGTGGGCTTTTCTAAATAACTGAGGCGATGCCGAGAGATCATCGCTACAACTTCGTATTATTATCATAACTGTAAGTCTATAACAAACGAAAATTATAGAGTAATAGCAATGGAATATATTTCTAATAAATTCAATCAATTATTCGCTGCAGTTAAGTAAAAACTCACCTTACACGAAAAACAAAGCCGTGTACATAATACTACTTAGGAATCGTCGTATCACAACTACAAAATATATTTTTTTTTCGGTTCTATATTTAACATTGATAATAACAAGCTGCCATTAACGCGATAAGTTCAATAGTTATATCGGAACCGCAAACCGAATGAAACTTTCGAAATTAACAGAACATCAATTGGATAGAGAAACAAGCCCGGTTATCGCTGGCTGTATAATAATGCACGTCTATGCGACAAAAACATTTTGTTACTGATCGTCCGTACGATAAAAAGAAGTTCGCAAAAAGGATTTAGTAACGGAGCGTAGGCGGAAATTATCGATTACGATTTGAATATCGTACGTCGAAAAATAAATTTAAACGAATCGCAAAATGTTGGAAAGGATAGGAATTAGAACGTACGTATTTTTTTTCTACAAGCAGAAAAATACCTGCGCAACCGATAATATTGGTTGAATTAATTAAATTGTTATATAAAAATTGTTATTACATCATATTGTTTGGGAATATGCGAATATAATAAAATTTTTTGCGATGTTAGTTTTTTTTTATTTATAGCAAAGTTCAATACTCCCTTATTTTTGGTGCCTGTCAAACGTCAAGTTATCGATAATAATCTCAGTTAATCAAACATGTGTGTGTGTGTGAGCGACCATAACCTATGCTACATCGAACGACATTGTAAACCAAACGGTTAGGAAAAACAAAAGTGTCAGCAGCCATTTATCTAACCTCAAAAAAAAGCACAAAAACCGGGATCGAGATTTTCGAATTCGACGAGTCAAAAGCGTCGCTCGCAAAACGGCCGAAAAGGCCGAAAGAGAAGAATCAACGTGAGTGTGTGTGTATGTGTGTGTGTGTGTTAAGCGCACGTTAAATCCGCCGAAAACGTCTGTGTCTGGCCTTCGTAAAATCAATGAAAATCCAGAGAGTAGGTCAACGAGCCTCCGGGCGTCAGGGAAGCACGTGTTTACGCCGCCAGGCGCTCCACGCTCATCGAAAATGGCCTACCTGGTAGCCGATGTTGAAGCAATATCGCTGGACCAGGAGAGCCTGGAGGAGCCCTTCCATAACGCTCCGAGTCACTAGCACCGCACATGTCTACATATCCACCACACCAGCACTGCACTGCACCGCACCGAGACCGAGACAGACCTTGCAATGCCATTCATCGAGGCCATTGGCTGGCAACGCCGCCTTCAGCTATCAGCTGGCGCCGCACTCGTTTAACATCGCCTCGACGCGCATAATATCGGCTCGATCGCTCTCTCCGTTTTACACCAGACTTCGGTTTATTTTTATTCGCCTCGTTGCCGGATCTCAAGCGATTTCCATTCATTCGCTACTCGACGCGGTAATTTCACTTTTAAAAGCGCCTATAAATCACGCTACTTCACACTGCAAAATGCATATCGTTCGGATACAGGGTGGTTTTTCACGAATCGAAAAAAACTATAAAACAACTCTTTAAACACGTAATTATTACGGGCCATTGTACCCGATTTTTCTACCTACTAATATCGTCCAAAAGTTAAGTTCGATATAAAAATAACATAGCGCTGTATATTTTTGGCTTTCGCTGGTTCAGTATACTACGATTTAATAATTTTACAAAGTACCGCTATAACTCTTTTAATTCGGCTTCGTACGGTTCCAATTCGGAATCTCGAAGCGGATGCATTAAAATCGCTGTTATTAAAGTACCAATTACACGTTATATTAAATAGTTGACGTTGACATCATTGTTTAAATTTACATTGAACGGAATTTTTAAATGCGAATAGATAGGTTACGATAATCATTGTTCTACTGGGTAATCTAATGAGTAATGGTAAATAGAACGTAATAAGAAAATTAGATAAATTTTACCGAGTTGAAGTTTATTCTAATTATTGATAAAATAATACGTTTAGTAAATTTGTTCTTTGTTATTAGTAGACCCCTGAATGAGAAACCACGCAGGTGATTCTTCTTGGTTTTATTTCCGTGAGAAAATTTGATCTTGCTGTAGATATTCGTATGGTATTGTTAAATTATGTTTCCTCTTCTTTCTGTTCGAATTTACTTAGGTTTCTTCAATCATCTCCAAGCTCTCATGTGGAGACTTAGTCAATGTTTAGTGGTCTTCCATTTTTTATGATCCTTTGATTAAATCGGATTATTTCATCTATTATTTTCGTTACCTTTCGTTTCCATTTGTTCTCAAATATCATGTCAGCTAAATCCAATGGTTAAATAGACTAATTAGAAGGTAATTTCTATTCCAATTGGGTCATTAAAATCGTCGCTATTACATTAATTGGGGTACTATAGAAAAATCGAACATATCCAGTCAATATAAAAGAAGGAAAATATTAAAGCTTAATACGATAGCAATTTCCACTTACTTTATATAACAACGTCATTATGATGGTTTCTCATGCTTAGCCTAATCCAAAAATAAAAACGTTCAATTCAACCGGTATGCGATATGTGTATCACGCAGGCAGCGTTGATGATTCCTCGCACACACACATACACACAAACACTCGCACCTATTTAAGAGTCGATAACATTGAAAAGCATCGACCAGCTTAGCCGGACGAAGCGGCAACGTCGCCGGGGCTCCGCCGAACCGACGTGGAGTTCCCGATTCCGCGAGACTTAGCTCATTTCATTTCACGTTCGGCGAGCGTACGGCGCAGATCGGCCCGAATATTCTCTTTCGTCTAACGAATTAAACCGTTGCGCGTTTCACTTTCTTCGCGATGATGATGATGACTATGACGACGACGTTGATGAATCGGCAACGGCTCGCGCGGACTCTTCGAGACTGCTTGCACGTCGCGTCGGCGGCACCCGACTCTCCTATACTAAACTAATCTGTCCAATCCCGATCGGATCGCAAAAGTGTTCTCGACCTCAAAAACCGGAACCGGAGGCGATATGTGTGAATTGTTTTACGAATTGTGCGCGTTTGTTCGTACCGTTTTCGACGCCCCGAACACGCTCGGTTTGTGGATTTGTTTCGCTTTTATTTTCAGGTGATGCGGAATTTCGTGTGCGATTCGTGTAGAATGCCTATAGGTGAATTCGCAGGCGCGATTGATTTGAAAATTAATAGAAAAAAATTACGTCGAATTAATTGATTAATTTATGTACGTTGTATTTTTAATGAAGGTAATAAAAATAGCTTCTAATTTAATTTAAATTGTGTACATTTTTTACTACGTTTAATAAAATATAATGAATGCAATTTATTTATTTTTTTTTTCATTTTGCCTCAATGATGAACCGTTGCAAATAATATTTTATCGATAAAATACACTCGATCAACGGTATATTTGCAGCACGTATTAGGTAATTAGACGTTATTCGAAATTTGAATGGCAAAATAAAAATTGGCAAAGTGAAAGTAAGGCAAATAGTACCTACGTATAGAGGCACAGTATCTAAATAGCTATTAAAAGAGAAAAATAAATGGTCCGATTCTTGCTCAATCGTATTGCGAAACAACGACGAAACTAACCGCTGTAATTTATACATTGTTTGTTCGCTAATAGGTGTACACGTCGACGGAGAATTCTAAAATGGCGGACGAAAAATTATTTCAATTAGCCTTTTAGGAATTTAATTAATTTAAATAAATCATCCTTATCTGCAAGCCGTACATCTCGTGTTTAATAATAACATAATAAACAACTGCCGTTGATAAACGAATTAATTCGTCGCGATAATGTATGGATACAGACAATAAGTAAAGATATTTGCCGTTTATTTATATTCCGAACGGTTGTTTCGGTACCGTGACCAACATCGCTTATAAAATAAAACATTTTCGAAGAGTTCAGTTTTAAACGTAAGTATAATACGCCAGCTAAAAATAACGCATTCCAGTGAAAATATTCCTACACGTCAGCGTTTAATGGATATCCTCGAAAACAACAAAAAGATTCGCTTTAATCGACTCTATTTTTAACTAACTACCGAGCCAAAAATTATCATTGATGGAAACAATGAATAATGAACATGAACAGACGAAAGTAATGTAAAATTTCAACCTCCTCGTATATACGGTCTAAAAGAGACATGTATATAAAAACCCACGGTATATACAGTTGCTGCAATTCCGAGAAACCAAACACACCTGCTTAAAGTCTCTCACACATCTGCTTGTTTGATTCACAAGAAAGTACATTCTGGCTGTAAACATATTTTCCGCCATAAAAAAATTTCATTGCACGCAAACGATACCGTCTAAAGATATTAAAGCGCGCGATAATTCGATTAACAAAAATAAGCAAAAATCATCGGAATTAAAAACTGGAAAAAAATGAACAAAAAAAAATAAAACAAACTACTTACATCAGAATTATTGGTATTTGTTATGGCATAGCTTTCTTTTTCTTTAGGTTCTTTAGGGACACTCACCTGCAACAAACCGTGAAAGAACTAAATAAATATAAATTCGATGGTAAGCAGGTACTATTAATTAGATGCTTTTTCAACGAAACGATTGAATACGTTCGATACGAATCCGAAATTTCATTTTAATTAATAACAATAATTCAACGATCCAATAAGTCGATAAGACGATTTCTAAACAAGTTCACCAACTTGAAGAGGTAATGTAAATGGGTGCAGATAATAAATAAATTCTCTCTAAATAAAGGAAATGCCACGGCAACGGCAACGACCACTCGATGAGTATCCACTATCTAATGCAAAGTGGAATATAAACGACGACAGCGCATCGGACTTTTAATTGTATTTATGTCGTACGCAGCGAATAAACTCCACTGTATTGCCAACGCCGAAGAAAGAAGACAACTTTGAAATGCGCGTATATGCATTTTTACTCGCTCTCGTTCCCTCGCAGAATCTCGATCGTTTCTTGATCCTCGCGTCCCTTATAAGGCGATCGCTTAACACAGCCACCGAACGAGCCTCATGCCATTTTTTTTTTCCTTCCTTTCGTCGTCCTTCTGTTCTTTATCCTTCAAGCTTTCAGTTCGGTTGGTAACGCACTGGAAACCGTCTTAACGATTATGGTCGAATCATCACACACATACACAGCGTTTTGCAGGTATAGATTGTTGAACTTTTTAGGCGTTGCCAACTGTAAGGCCGTTCTAATTTTGGATCGTTAATGCACAAACATTTAAGAAGATAGCCGAAGTAATGTTGAGGAAAAAATAACCGCAGGGCATATTTCAGTTACTTAGCAATGAAGATTTATTGAAGTAATGAAACTACAACTCTCAAAGTTTAGTACAGAGGGAAACTTGGTGATAGTTTAATACACCCTGTAGGTATAGATTGTAGACTATTGTAGACTAGCCGATATTTGATTAAGGGAGGATTCTAGCGAAGTTCACAGCGGAAGAGGTCGATGCATCTGGGCACAGATGGAGCACATTTTCATAAGCATGCAGTTAGGTAGGTATGTAACAAACTTCAGCATCGTGCTCCGACAAGAAATCAATAGTCGCAACCTGTTACAGTGTTTCTGTTTGCAGTTATGTACTGGGAAAGTACAGTTCGGCTCTAATGTTTCGCGTTGATCCGCTCGGACGGGCGAGCGATCCAACAAACATGGCCGTTTCATCGCACCTAACTACTTGTGCAAATTAAACATTAATTCGAAATGATACAAAGATATATCGGAGCGAATAAATAACCAACCGATTTTGTTTTTTTTTTTTGTTAATTCGTTTACGAGTGGACGAAGCGATGGAACGGCGAGCGACAATGACGAGAGAGGACAAGACAAGTGGAAGAAAAGAGAAGCGATGAGCTCGATATTTTACTCGTTTACGATCGTTTCGCGTTCACTCTCTCTCGCTTTTAACGGGTTCGTTTGTCCTGTCTCGTTTTTGCTCGGCGGTCGCGCGTTCCGATACCGGAGACCTTGAACGGAAGAATTCCTTCTCGAGTTCTCGCCGCCGGTTTTCTGGATTTAACTCGATCGCGCACCTATACAGGGATTAAACCAATCGCCTTGACCCATTTCACCGCCAATTGCAAAATATTATTAATTTTACTACTAAATTTCCACCTGTTGCAAAAGCTACTTAAGCTTGTTGTTAATTGTACATTCATAAAAAAAATAAAATAAACAGTGCAATCCCGTTTACGTACCCATAAAATTATCCGTTTACAACATCGTGTATATCCAATGATTTTTTTTTAAATGAAATATAAAAAAAAACCGCACGTATTAAATGTCATTCATTATAGTATCGTATAGTATCGCGCGCTCACACACACACAAACACATCATACAAACATTCACTCGCACTCGCACACGTAACGACACACATACGCCGGTGTTCGATACGCTCACGAGATAAAAGTTCCACGTGAGTCATATCGGTGTACCGACGATCGCGCGCCTCCGTCCGAACGCGGCGGAGGAAATCCCGCGAGCCGGCAACGCCGCCGGCCGACCGGCTGTTTTCTGTTGTCGTATGCCGTAATAGTTCGTCCGCCCGCCTCTTTTAATACCGCTTGTAAAGCGCGGCAAGTTCAACGTTCGGCTCGCTATGCGGCGCCCGCTCGACGAAAATCGCCCGGTCTCTCGGCCGGGACGGGAGAAGCGGCGCGAGCGGAGCCGGTCCTTCGGTTTTACTACGCGGTGTTCGCGGAGAGCGTATTTAATGCGGACGCGGACGGACGATCGGTCGACGCAAGTGGCCCGGTTTCGGGCGGCTGTCTTTCTACTCGAGCGATACATCGACGGGTCGCGGGGCGCGAGCGCTCCGTGTAGAGCGGGCCCCCCCGCGGCATCGGATCCCCGTGCGAATCGTCGCTAATTTATTGGCGATTTTTTTGATATATTTGCTAATTTTTTTTTCTGTGCTTTAATCCATGTGTAAGGTAGACTGGGGTGAATGTAATATTTTTACCTATTATGTTAATGTTTTTATTATTTTTATAGTTTATTTGTACATTAGACAGGGTTTGTTTCTTATTTTTTCTTTATTATTTTGTAGCTCTGTTATTTTTTAAAATAAATAAATAAACAGCATATCAAATTTTAGAGGAACCAAATATTTTTTTACAATTGACCCATATGTTTTGTTTTTTTGTCCCGTACCATGGGGTAAATGTAACATATTGTCAACATTTTAAAAAATATGTAAAATCGTTTTCTTTCTTTTTCAAAAAAAACTTTTTAATACCTCGATTCTTTAGTTTAGGAAGTTGTGAATATAATATGGTATCAGCATTTCTAATAAGAGAAAAAATAAAGCCACATTTTAGGATTTAATTTGAACTATTCAAATTTTACAACCGATTTGCCCCAGTCAAATAATTTAATTATCTCGATTCAAGAGTCTTGTAGGCATATAAAAATCTACTCTTGCCTTGAATAAACTTTTTTTTTAATTTAATAATTTTTTAAATACACGTAAAACTCGAAAATATTACTAGGTACTAATGCAAAGAGATATATTAATCAAAATTTCTCCCAAATCAGCCACGTGCAGAAAACCCAAAAATCGGGCGATACAAGTTCGAATTTCGGTCCTGATAAACGGCAATGAAAAGGATGAAAAAAAAAAAGTCGTCTACGAGAGACCCGTCGACAACGAGCCCGGCGTGTGATGTGAGTAAGTAAGCGCGGGTATCCCACGCAATCAGCGCGCGTTGCTCGCTTACATGCTCGTTTACGTTTTCCAGTTCCCCGACTGGGACAACAAATAATTAACATAATGGCCACACGGCGTAAAAGAGCGAACGATGGGCGGTCGCTCCGATACACATACTATATACCAGGTCGGCCCGCGGCGACCTGGACACTAGGAAAATTTTTACAAGAAAATTTGATCATTTTATTTGCCAAATAGGCAATCTATTTCATTTGAACCGCGATAGTCTACCAGAAGAATACATTAACAAAAAATCACCTAATATCATCAAATTACAGTGGCGTAGAAAATCAAAAAATATTCCAAACAATCGACGATTTAATTAAGTACAACGTTTTATAGAGGATAAGTATCCGCCTAAATTCACTCGTCGATTAGCAACAGTGAATCGAAGGCGAGTAAACATATTTATAAATAAATCGTTTTTGAAGCGGTGAATGTTTTCAACTCGAACAATACATTTATAAAAGATTGCTTAATATAAACGCTGACATTGCGAAGGGGGTGGGTGCGCGGCGAACGGGGAGGAAGGGGGAAACGAGCGGTTTAAACGGCCCGGTCGAGCCGACGTTCGAATGTGTAAAACCGACTTTTCTGTGACATTATCATTATCACAATAGATTAGAACGAGATGCCGAATCGACCGCATTTGAGCGAATACGTGTGCGTACTTAAAGTAGTCGCGCCGAGCCGGTAGTCGAAGATTTTTTTTTATTTGTTATACGAGGGGCGCGCGGGAGGCGGCCGGGCGAGCGATAGAGCGAGACGGATAGGCGAAAACGAGCGAGACGGCTGGAAGATCGCTTGCAAAACAACTTTCGTGTCTATCTTCGTGCATATCCGATTTTTGTAATTCCTCGGCATGCCATTTTTTTTATTCGTTCCGCGCTCGGTTTAGATGTGGAAATTGTAATGCGCCAACTCGCGCTACTATACACTTGAAGAGACGATCATTGAAAGAAAATCATTCGATACCGTTTCAAATACTCTACACTCTATGCATTAACAGCGAAAGTTGAAAAGTATACAATTTTTACATCGCATTATCACACCATCCGTACATAAACTTAATAAGTAAATATCTACAATAATTCTATAAACAAACCTGTTTCATTACGTTTACGATTCATAAAACATTCTCACTTTGAATATCATTTCCACGATAGCATTTACAGGATCCACGTGGAAACAGAAACCAGTTCCTTTCCAATTCGTTAAACGGTTATAACACACGAAATGAAATTGAATTTCGATAAGGAGAATTTTAACCAGACGAATGTCGAAAATATACTAGCGATGAATCTACAAACTACAAAAGTTACACATTATTCAAAAGCCTTCTAAATTCATTTCAAAAGGAACAATACAATTGCACTCATTCAAACCTACATCGCAATTCGTAATAGATGAATAATGAAACAGGTGAAAATGTAAGCGCACGAAATAGAAAGAAACACACGAAGAAAATGCGGAAAAACTACACTTAATGTTTTCTTTAAAAAAAAATCTCAATACTGTTTAAATGAATATCTAAAGCAACGCGTGCAATAGATCTACACTTTCGAGTTCCGACAGGTAAGATATTCCTAACCGATAAATCTCCACAGTTATACATTGATAGAACCGAATTCAGGTAGAAATCGTCGGATCTGTAAAAGTTAACCAACAGTAGTCGCACGCCACTGATTCGACAAATTTCTCAACCTACTAACAACAAAATAAAACAACTATAAAGAGATATTATCATTATATCAATGATACGGTTAGTGAACGCGATCTACACGAGAGAATTTTAAACGCAGCAATTCATTTAAAAAGAAGCTCCATATCGTAACGATGTAAAATTTTGAGAGATATACAGTCTAATAGAAAAGATTTCTTACCAACATGTACATGAGCATATTCTCTATTATCCTTGCGTACAATCACAAAACGAATCGAAATCGTCGATATTTCCAATGTCGTCCCGTTCGTCACATTGTCACAACAATCACAGGCAACCTCGAATTTAGCGATACAAAAAAAAATATATTAATTCAATAATTATATCGAGAGAATGTAAAACGAATGCGAACGCACACTAGCACACATGCACTTTGTATCAAACGACGTTGAGCTCTGACCCCGAGTGTTTAGAAGAAGGCTTATAGTTAGATGTTTATAAAACAACAAAATCTCGTAGGTACGGATCGCATCGAATTCGAAATCGGTTTTGTTGTGGTTTTTCGTCGTGACTGTACGAACTATACAACCATCACATTCGCATTGCATCGCGCCGAGGTGCAACGACACCGTTCCATCGGAACACCATCTTTTTTCTTCAAAATACTTACATACGTATACACTAACTGGTACAGGTTTGTATTCAGGAGCGCATCCGTTTTCTAATTACCTACGTTCGTCGTATTTTTTTCGGAGCGTTAGAATGAAATGAACAGTTAGAGGAAAATGTTAGACGAATATAGAAAATAAAATTGAAACACTCACCCTAGCGCCCAGGAAGCGCGCCTCTAGGAGCTCCTGTTTCCGGGGGTCGAGCGCCGCCTGGAAATGCTCCATCTTCACTCCAGCGCCTGAAAAAACGCCCAGGAGATTAGAGATATGTGCATTTGCAGGAGACCCACGATATAATTGTACAAAAACTATAACAATAACCAATTCGCTCGGGGGCCACCTATATAGTGAAAAAACAGCTAATACCTAATAGTGGCATTGTTGAAATATATGAGCAATCCAAGGAACTATTCAGACCCCTCGGACGGTACGAAATTTTCCATTTTTATATGGAAACGCAAATAGAACTGGTTCAAGAATAATCCAGTCCACAAAAACCGACGGTAATTTACTTTAATTGCGAAACGACATTTTTATGGCGCTAAAAATACCACCATTGGACGAAATAAAACCAGCTGGTTCATCGCATCGTAAGGCACGTCATTTTTTTACAAAGACGACAAAAAGCCAAACAAACTTCGAAATTAGAGTAAAAAAAGAGCAACGCGATTTCCATCACTGGATCGCGTTCCAAACAACCCTTAAGTATTATACCGGCAGCGCCGTCATGCATCTGGATTTCAGGGCGTAGTCCCGGAGAAACGGTATGTACAACAACTTTTTTTTTTCAGTTCCTCTCTCACCGGCGTAGCTCCATCTGACGGCCGTAATTGGGGGGATTCCCAATTCCGCTTTCGCAGGGATATATACGTTCGCTCTACTCGCTCTCGGTTCGGAACCGATGGTGGTTAAAAGCCATCCGCCCACTAAAAGCGCGCCTTTCCCTCTTCGCCAAACCACCCCCTTTTTGCTCCCTATACGATCAATGTTGACAAGGCATGCGAGATGCTGGGCGACGTCACGGGAAGAATAGGATTGTGGTGGCATTTCCTAGTCGACAGAGGACGTTGCAATTCAACCCTTGCTTATATACATGCATTTCGTTTTTTCTTTACCGAAGCGATTTGTTCACTGAATTATTATTTTAAAACGAGAACAGAGTGGGCATTATTTAACTAACACTTAATCGAAAATGGAAGATGTCCATTATTCATCTCCATATATGATCATTGGATGGTAATTGGCTATACAGTCTAAAAAGATACAACAAAATAGTATAAATTTCGACGATTCCTAAATCGAAACGATTCGAGATTTAACAGTCGAGTTTGCAAAGTAGAGAGAACACGTTAGTGGGATTGAAAACTAGTTCGATACCACGTCATCTATCCGCAATGCCACGAATTTTAAAGACCAACCGTGTAGATTGTAGTGATGCAACGGAACATTACTTTACAAGTCGAATGCAAGAGAAACATTTTTCTACAGTGTATGATACCGTTTAATAAAAGCTCTCTTTATTCCTCTACGCTAAATCACCAATCTGATTGATATAAGAATGTTCAGTTTTTATAAAAAACATTTTGTAAAAAACATTGCGTAAATCATTTAGCAAAATAAAAGGCCCGCTAATTGGCACAATATTCAAATTTTTATATTCCTAGTGTACGCTCGAGTACTTTATCTCGACGTTATAAATAAACGTGACTGCGTTATCTGTATTTTAAAATGAAAATTACACGAAACATCAGCGATTAAGGTACACTAAATACATTTAACGTTTTCGCTATAAACCGAAAACTAAACTCATTCTATTCGAAATTTGAATAAATAATCGATAGCGAATTATTCAAATGAACATACGACCTCGGTACAATTCCCAATGTCACATTCAATTCTATCGCAACAACAGAAAAAAAAAACGTAATTATAATTTCTTTGCGAATGATGCAGTGTGTTAAAGATATTATTCCAACGACACAAACACTAAATATAAAACGATTTTACCTTGGAACGGTGAACGATAGTCATTTTGGATTCGATTCAATTGCAAAATCCGAAATGTAATATAACTAATAGCAAAAAAACCGTGAATATTTTTTTAAAAAACTCGTTATCTTATCGTCTCGAGCATATTTTAATTATGCATAATAAACACAATACACACACTCGCTTATGTGGTCGAACACAAATACCAAAACCTAATAAATAGAAATAATTTTGAGGAACAATAATTACACAAAATTTTTAATATGCGGATACTGTATCGGAGATAAGACGGTCGTGTAGAAGTAAAATTGCTTACGTCGGCAGTTAAAAATAGTTTTTGTAGAGGAAAAAAAAAGGTTCACATCGCAAATGAAATTATTCCAAAGATATCCGCCAAACAATGCGCACTTTATGAAAAATGTAAATATTATGTTAACTGTAGCTGAAATATTGAACAAAAATCAACCAATCGTGTAATAAAAAAAATATGTTAAGAAAAGATGATTTTTAGTAGATAGTCATTATAAATTACGTCTATATTAGCATTCCAAATTTCCGAAACAACGCCTAATACGATCCACAATCCAAAATTACTCGATACATCCGTATATACATATCCTCGGCATCCCTGATGATGGCGATATGAGATGGAGCAAATCGAGGCGAACAGTCGCAGCGGCAATAACGAGGTGTAGGGCGGCGCGATTTCTGAATCGCTTCTATTCCCCATTCGGCGAACCCCGTCGACCTCATGCAAACGTACAACCGACTTTAACCGAGTTTCAACCAGACGCTGATAAACAGGCTCGTCACGAGATCCCGCTTCCGCCGATCTGGATCGAGCCCTAGTGCCAAGGATACACGCGAAACGCTCCAAATCCCTACCGAAAAGGGTATCAATAAACCCTTAATCCCCCCAGTTTATTGCTATCGCAATCGAGATAATTACAGAGCTCGCGCACCGAGCGAAATCTATCACCCTAACTTTATCTTGCGATTAAGAACGCGGCGATAGAAAGTAGATATTAGTAGTAAAAAATGTTGATAAAAAATATTCTTCTTTTCTAGGGTCTCAGACTATTCGGCCACCGTCCAACGTGTAGCCATCGAGGTGTACCGTCGCGACTAAGGGGAATTCCACAGCCGTTCCCTCCGGCGAGCTACCGAAGAATAACTGGAACGACGGGGGCGGCTTCGGTGACGAGTATGGCTCCGGCGGCGGCGGCGGCACGCAAGGCGCAGCGCGCCGTTCATTTGATCGGCGTCGGAGTGGAACAGTGACGATGAAATATACAACCTTCCTTTTCGCCCCGTTCGCATCCGAAATGGGAACCGTATAGAGGGTCCTGCCGTGTGTTAATACCGTACGGGGGGTGGTATCGACCTGGTTTTCCTGGCGACGCCGAGTTGGAGGTCGACTCGACTCGCCGGAATCTCCCGTTTTTCGGCGTATTAAACGAATAACCCAAAACCAAAGGGCTTGTGTATAAGCGACGAGGGATGTTCCGCGTGGCTATATTTCGATGGTTTAATATAATAATAACAGGTTGAATTGATGTTGTAAATTGAATAATTGTCGCGTTGATTACAACTTTCCGCGGTAATTGTAATAAATTACATTTATTAAGCAACGCGATCAATGGAAATAACAATTTATTTACCACAATACACGTATAGGACAAAGGTCTATGAAGTGATTACCTTGGGTGCTAAATAGAAACGCCAATAATTAGGGAATTTTTTTGAGCAATTAACGCGAGTCAATAAATCGTTATAATGTTAAATATCCTATAAACAAAAATAACTAATGAAAGAGTTAAAATAAATTAAATACAAATTAGTATCTACAATTCAGCAGTGGATGGGAATTACACGTTATAGGTAAAATTTAATTAACAACTATGCTTATCAGCTATATTAACGTCACACACGAAAATTTTCCAAAACAACAAATTCATTATAAAACCGCGTAGATATACCGCGTTATATAATTCACCCACTCCCAGCATATAAATAGAATTTGTCGAAAGAAAAAAAAAACCCGCAAATTATTCAACAATTATCCCCAATTTAGGGATATCATCCGAAGGCAAATTCCCCGAGCGTTTTTCTTTCTCCCCCAAAAAAAAAAACCCACCGGCGGCGCCCCCATTCACCTGTGCGAACGCGCTCCCGTTCAAACCAAAACCAAAGCAAAGCAAGCAAAGCCGAAGCACGGCAAAGCGTAAAGCGCGGCGCAAAATGACGACGCGTCGCGACGTCGACGTCGCCTCCGTTAAAACGCAACGGGTCCCGTCGCTATCGGGAGGGGGCGCGCTCGCTCGTTGAATAATTCCGAAGGCGCACGCCGCACGCGGACGCTCGGATTCCTACGGTTTATCTACACACAACAAGCCGCAAGGTCACGTGGTCGCGACGGCCACGGGAAAGCTCTCTCTTCGGCTCCGCTCGCTGCCGTAGTGCCGGCGATATAATCCGGAAAAATTTTCTGTTGTATTTTCTTTTCAATCGCAGGAATTTTATTTGAATTTAACGGGCCGATTCTTCAACTAAATTTTGCTCAAATAAAGGTATATCTACTTAGAAAAGCTTGGGTTTTCGAAGTCTTGTTACAACAAGTGTTTAAAGCTTGGGCTTTCGATTTTTGAAGGCTTCTTTAGAAGTTAAAAAATAAAAGAATTTTTAAGCATATTAGACCGACAACAAACTTAATTTTAAACGTTATAATCGAAGCTACAATCAGCACAACTTTATGCGAACCTCTTAGCTACAACTCCAAGCTTTAATAATTTGCCTCTAAAATTCATAAATCGTACCGATACCAAACGATATCTACTCCAACAAAAAACTCTCGCGCCATTTACGCGGGGCACCGTTTCGCTTCGAACGTTCCCCGCGCGGTTTTCGCGCCGCCTCCGCCCCGTCGATTCGAAATTTCCCGCGTATTTTACAGCCGTCCGACCTAATTCGCCCTTTCGGCGCGCGTGTGAATAAACGTCAAAACGCTCGGTCGGAGCGCCTAAAGCGGGCGCGAGCAGGAACACAAAACCGGCTAGACCATTTATTGTCGGGTGCAACGGGACGAAATCGATCCCGGATCGTCGACGATCCGTTTGTATCCCCTCGAGCCGCGAAAGACTGCGAAAACGACGGGCTATATTCTATCCCCTCGACCGACGAATGGCGTCCCACAAAAAAGGTGTTATTAAACCTGCATTACCAAAATTAATTAAAGGATTTTTTTTTGTAT